TTTAGGCTGGAGGGACCCTGCAGACAGCCTCTCTCTTCTCTCCTGTTGGGTGGTCCCAGAGCTCCTCTCAGTCCCTGGGCATTTCACATTCCAGACACTCTGCTGGGGGGGTTCACCTTTCTTCTCTTCCTGGACCCTGATTGTTGCCAGTGCTCTTTGCTGCTTAAACCCCAGATGAAATGCTCAGTGAGCCTCAGTAAGTTCCTCTAAATCTTCTTGTTTCAGTGAATTTATTTTTCTGATCTAAAAGTAGCTCAGCAGTTGGTACTGAGGAACTGGCCTTGCTCTCCCATCTCACAACCATGGGAGATTTTACATTTTTAGGCTTTTCTTAGCACAAAGGAGCAATTCTTGCTGGCTCTTTCTCCCCTGCATTGCTGGGACACTGTTGTTGGTTTAGGATTTCTTTTCTTCTGAACTGTTTTTGAAGGCATTTCTGTTGCCCTCCGTTGCAGCAGTCAGAATTTTAAATAGATGGCTTCTTCACATCTGGGATGGCAAGAAATTTTCCTTGAGGGATGTCAAATGGATGTGATGAGATGTGATGGAGGAGTTCCTGACCCACGTGTGGCCTCACTGGTGGGAGGCCCGTGCCCTGTGAATCCCCTGTGTTGTGAAGATACAGTTGGTGATGGAATTTGCAGAGGGAACACAAGTTGGAGTTTATAGGACACAAGAACTTTTGGAATACAACATCAAGATTCTGAGAACCAGCAGCCTAGCCTCTGATTTCCAAATGTTTATAATCCTCACTCACTGTATTTTGGTTGAAATCTAAGGAAGAGTTCCCTGGAGTTATTCCATGAGAGGATCAGCAATCCTGTGCACCAGCACAGGGGACAGATCCAGCTACAGCTGGTGGCCTCCAGCAGCAGCTGGGGTGTCTCCTGAGCAGCTGGGGTGTCTCCTGAGCACTTGGATGTCTCCTGAGCACTTGGGTGTCTCCTGAGCAGTCTTTCCTTGCTGTCCCTGCTGTGTCACGATTTGAATTGTGATTCGAATATCCTTGATAGCTTTTGATAAAGAAGGAAAGTAATGAGATACAAGATGTCAGTGGCTACGCCTTGGTGCTTGGGAGGTTTAGGGTGAGCAGTAGGAAGAATCTCTTTGCTGGGAGGGTGGCACAGCTGACCAGTGACCAGTGACAGGACCCAGGGCATGGCTGGAGCTGGGCCAGGCAGGGTTGGGTTGGATCTCAAGAAAGGTTCTTCCCCCAGGGGTGCTGGCACTGCCCAGGCTCCCCAGGGAATGGTCCCAGCCCTGAGGCTGCCCGAGCTGCAGGTGCTCTCAGGGATGCCCAGGGTGGGATGTTGGGGTGTCTGTGCAGGGCCAGGGGCTGGACTCCATGATCTTTGTGGGTCCTGTCCAACTCAGGACATCCCCTAATTCTGTGCTTTCCTGCTTGGAGGATGGGCTGGCACTAATGGGATCTGTCTGGTTTGGTGTTTAGATGGATCCTGAGTACCGGGTGAAGAAGTTCTTGGCTCTTCTGAGAGAAGAAGGGACGTAAGTACTTTTATTTTAAAGCAGTGTTTAAATTCTCTTTTCTGCTCAGAAATGAGCTGCTCTGAGGGGAGCCTGCAGTGGGATGGATCTGCTCTCTTTGTTGGCCCCTCTGTATTGTCAGAGCTGTATCACATCAGTTCTTAGAGCAATTTGGGAGGGGGGAGGTCCTGAAGGTTTGGGAACCTGCATGCCTGAATTCTCTGCTTTTCTGAATTTACCTTTGACTTTTAAAGCATCCATGAGATACTGGGCCACAATTTACCTTTCTTTAACTAAAGTAAATCAAAAGAGCTTCTGCTTGAGTTAAAATCCAGCTGTTTATCTAAAATCTGGAATTTTGGTTTCTTGTGTCTCCTGTCTGAGAGAAGGATGTCCTACTCTTTCCCCATAGGTGCCACAGGGAGTAGTTGAGCCCAGTGGGACAGTGGCATCTCCTAGAGAATGACTTTCTAATACATGTAGGGCAGTACCTGTGCTGGGGAAACTCACACCACTATCTATCCTGGCTACATGTGAGTGGGTTCCAGTGTGTGCTTGATGCTTTATACATGTGCATGATGCTTTCCTGATGGATTTGGCTTCTTTTGCAAGAGTCCCTACCCTAGACTGAAGGTGGACCAAGTGCAAGATCAACAGCTGGAAAAGTGACCAACCTGGAGAACAAACACTGGGATCTTTATTCTTCTGTGCTCAACACACTGGACAAAGTGAAATGCTCCCCTGATCCCCAGAGCCCCATGTGGAACCTGCATGTGTAGTGCAATACAGTACTTTTATTCTTTGTCTTTCATATTCTGATGTCATGTGGGAGTGTCTCCTGGAACACTGTGCTTCTGTCTCTGTGCATTTTGGGGTGAGCAGTGGGAATATCCTGTGAGGTTTGGGGCTGACCCACACTTGTGTCCAGCATTCCTGCAGTAGGAAAGAGATTCTGACTTCCAATAAACCTGCCAGTCTGGTGGAGGGATGCTGAAGCACTGCTCTGTCTGGTCAGGTGAAGCTTTTTGTGGTGCCACCCCAGCCCTCACTGGTCTCTGAGCCAGACCCACACCCACGGACAGAGCACACAGGAGTGAGTGCAGCTCCAGGGGTGCCTGGCTGCTGCACCCACTTTATTTATATCCAGGTATTTTGGGGCCTGATGGGACCCTGCTGGTGGCACTGGGGACTGGAAGAGGGCAGGGAAGTGTTGATCAGAGTAGAGGAAATTTCCAAATCCAGTATTTAAGGCATCAAACCTTGTTGTTAATTCAACAACAGTTTTAGCGATGCTGGTTCCAGCCTCCAGCTCTTCCTGAGTTCCTGTAGTTGGCAGCTTTGGTATCCTCCAGCCTCATTTTATCCCTTTTCATGTTACCAAAGGTTGAAATTCCTCCTTAGAGGCAGAGAGGAAGCCAGGCTCTGCAGGTGCACGAGATGTGTATTGCCATGTTTTGCACTGAATTAAGGAATGTATCAAACCTTGCTCCACGCTCCTTCCCGTGCTCCTGTGGCCTCAGGGAGATGCTGAGGCTGCTCCCCCTGGGCTCCACTCCTTCCAGAAGGTTCCTGGAACATACCTCAGTGTGGTGGGGCATCAAATCAAAGCCATTTAGCAGCTGTTAGTCAGTGTAGCTTCCTAAACTCGAGCAGGCCCACTGTAAGGGCGAGCAGTGGTGTCCAGAGGGGTGTTCCCAGGGGAGGAGGGTGCCCCACGTCCTTCCAGGCCCAGGTGGAGGTACTGTTGTCCTCAGTGTGCTCACAGCAGTTGGGGTGTTTCAGCCACTCCACTCTGCTCCTCTGGCAGTGCTGTTGTGTTGTGATGCTGTTGTGAGTCCCAGTGGTGGTTCCCTCTCATTTTGTGTATGATCTTGTGAATTTATTTGTTCCTCCCTTCCCTCTGCCAGTCCGAGTGACAGCAGCACACAGTAACTTATATTTCAGAGTAAATGATGTACACCTTATCGTGTCTGTGTCCAGAACTATACTGATGAATAAATATCTGGTTTAATTGCACATTCAGTGGATTCAATAAAAAGCACAACTCCCTGTGATGACCTGGGTGCCGTCTGTGTCTGGTGCTGGTGTGTGTGAGGAGCAGAGCTGCCCCTGGGCTGCTGCTGCCAGGGGGGTGCTCAGAGTGTGCCTGAGTGTGGATGGATTGAATTTAACCCAGCCTGAGTAGCTGCCCCCTCTTACTGTGACAGAAGTTAGTGAGAGCACTCTGGTCCAGCCCATTCTGGAGCTGTGTGAGCTCTGCAGGGCTGAGGGCGCCCTGTGTGTGTCTGTGTGTGTGGGGTGGGGGTATCCCACACCTGGGGAAGGCTGGAAAACCCGACTGGGCTGCTGGGTGTGACACTGACCCACTCCAACCTCTGTTCCAAAATCTCCATCTGAGATGTTCCCTGCAGGTGGCACAAGGGAAGGGCAGCACCTTCCCACCACCTGTGTGTTCTCCATGGCTCCTCTTGTCAGAGAGGCTTTAAATGTATAATAAATGCACAATATTGCTTTCAATGTAAGGGCTGAATTCTTCACCCGCTTCCTTACCCTGTTTCATCTTGAACTTTCCAGAAATGTGGCCCTGAAATGGAGTTGTTGAGCAGAGGCAGATTTGAAGGTGCTGGGATGGGTTTGGGGGCACAGTGTGGGGTGGAGGAAGGTTTGGGGCAGGTGTGCAGACAGGGAGAGCTTCACCCCCTGAGCTGTGAAGTCCAGACCCCTCCATGGGCCAGGTAAGGACATGTCAGTGGTGGTGGCACCAGCAGAGACACCCTGACATCCTGCATGTGCATCCATGGGATGGCTTTGGGTGTAATCTGGGGATCAGGGCAAGAACATGAGTGATTCTATATTTATTTTGCCCTTCAGACAGGTACATTTGAGGCCAGTGCAGTGGAAAATAGCGTGCACTTAAAAGCATTGCTGATGTGAGGGATGCTGCAGAAACACCCACAGAATTATTCATGGACAGGAGAACAGGTTTTTTATATCAGAAAATGTGGGTCTTGTCTGTCCAAAGCATTGGAAGGTGATTCAGAGGCAGCCTGTGAGTACATGTGGGGGGTGTGCAGGGTCTGGAATTTGGTTTGATCCATTGCTTTGGTTGATCTCTGGCTCTGCACAGCTCCTGCCAGGAGGGGACAGCCGGGGAACAGGGACAGGAGCCAGTGGTGGGAATGGTTGGACTCAATGATCTTGAAGTCTTCTCCAACCCCAAAGGTTCCATGACTCTGTGCTGAATCTCAGTTGTGCACAGTGTACCCTGGCACTCCCTGAATCAAAGTCTCAGCTGTAAAATCTCTTCTTTTTGCCATCATTGTCTTGATTCCTATAACAGATGCCCCTGCCCATGCCAGGCAGTTGGAACTATGTGACCCTTGAGGTTTCTTCCAACCCAAACCATTCTGGGATTCCATGATTCCCTGTCCATGAGCAGCTGGGTCGTGACCCACTGCTCTGTAGCTGTTCAGCAGGGCCCTCAGAGCCAAACCACACAAGCTGGCAAGTGCATATTTTTGAATTTTCACCTTTTCTTTAATGATGTACCACAAAAAATGGAAGTTGAAATATATTTTTCTCCAAATATATAAATTTATATAATATATAATCTTAGTTAACTCAAGTATATACATTGTATAATAAATAATGCTTATAAAAAGAGAAATTTTCTGAATATAAAATAAAAAAAAATCGACCTCTACAACTTTATACAAAACTTTGGATACAGCAGATTGATGGAAAAAGATCTTCCATTCAGTGCTAGAATACCTGGCTACAGTAAAATAATTACAAGGCAATAAATGTTCTATTTAATATTAAATACCTTTTCTTGATTAAAAACCAAACAAACAAAGGAGGGTTTTTGTTTAAAGTCGGGTACTGGGAGTCTTTCCAGACAGGGGATTTAATATATACTTTAAATAGATGCATATCAGAGGACGGCGTGGCTCGGCTGGGGGAGCTTCTGGAACTCTCTGGGATTTGAATTTTCGGGAGCAAAGGCTCCTCCGAAGGGGGTCAGGAGCTCCAGGGGCTGCTCATTCCCAGGAAAAGAGAGAGAGCAGCAGCAGCCCCAGCCCGAGTGGCCACCATTCCCTGGAATTCACTGCCTGGGCTGTGTCTGAGCGTGGCTTTTGGTCCTGGAGCCCACCAGGACAGAGGGAGTATTTATTTTGTAATTTCATGGGTCAGAACTCCTGGGGAAGGTAAACCCAGGAAGAGAAGGATGTGCTCAAGGACTGGGATGCCCTGGGGAGCACAGGGGGGACAAACCATGGTTCTGCTGCCTGGGAAGGGCCCTGGGATGTTGGCAAATCCCTGCTCATGGCACAGAGCCTCCGTGCTTGGGGGCTGGTTGCTGACAGCTCAGTGAATCCCAGGGCAGGGGAAGGCTCTGCCCAGCTTCGTGCTGTGCGAGATTTCCTCTCTGCCTGGAATCTCCCATGTTCAGAGCTGGTGCAGCAGCTCACCTGGCAGGTAACCTGTCCCCAGAGAGATCCCTGAGCTCCCTCTGGGTAAAGTCGTGTTAGGGAATGCTTAGTCAATCCTGTCCCCTGTAGGAGGTGGCAGCAGTGCCCTGTGCCCTGCTCGTGTCCTGGGCCAGGTGCCAGAGGGTCAGCTCCGGGCTCTGCCTTCCTGAAGCCCTCCGTGGGACATGTGGGGCTGTGGGGAACAGAGTGGGCAGAGGGGAGGGGGAAGGAGGGACCACCCGTGGGCTCTGCTGGTGTGCTCAGACAGGTTTGGTTGCCCAGCATCACCCCAGAGCAGGAAGGAGGGAGCTGGGCTGGGCTGGGGGCTCCTTCCTCTCTGCATCTGCTGAGACCAGGACAGCAGCAGCTGGGGGAACTTTCACTCTGAAAAATCCATTTCCACCTGAGCCCCCGTGTTGGTGCCTGCAGGGGCTGGAGCTGTGGAGCAGGACAGGCAGCTCGGGGGCTGCTGTGGCAGCAGCTCTGCCTGGTGAGGCTGTGCCCTGCTGGGACTCACTGTTATGGTCTCTGCAGGCTGTCCTGTCCTGCCCGAGGGCTCAGCAGTCGCTCCTCGCCTGGGTGAGGTGCCCAGAGCCTTCTCGGTGCCCTGGCAGGAGTTTTGTACCGTCCTCTGCAGCGTGAGGCCACGTGTGGGGCTGGCCCTGCTCCGGAGCAGCCTCCAGCAGCAGAGACCCACCCGTGCTCACTTGCAGGTGTGGACATCGTAGACCCGCGTGCACTCCTGGCAGCTGACGTAGCAGCACCAGTGGAAGATGCAGTGACACTTCTCCTTGCGCTTCTCAGTCCGGGTGTTGTGGCCTCGCCCGCAGCACAGGAGGTCGCAGCCGTCGATGCCGTGGGAGGTGACGTTGCACGTTCTGTCCCTCGTCCCGAAGGAGCCCGTCTCCGGGTTGGGCTCACAGAAATTGGGGGAGTTCTCGTAGTACACCAGGTCCCGCTCCGTCGGCGGCTTGAACAGCGCGTACTTGGCCCTGAGAGTTTCTACCCAGCCCCGGGACTCGCGGTGCTTCTCCACCACCATCTCCGAGGCGCTGTCGTATTTATCCTTCAGGTAGTCCCCGATGGCGCGGAAATCGGGCTGGGCCCACCAGCAGGTCTTGACCTCGCAGCTCCCCGAGAGCCCGTGGCACTTGCACTTGAGGTGCATGTGGTCCAGGATGGTCTGCCCGGGGAAAGCACAGTCAGCAGCAGCGGGTGCAACGCAGGCTCTGCTCTCCACCACCCGCCCGTGCCACCTGGGGTTCAATGTCTGGTCTAAGCTTGGCCTGGGAAGCCTCACCTCGAGTTTTGGGGGAGGTTTTGGGGAAAGTTTTGGGCCCCACAACATTAAAAAGGCATTAAACCACTAGACAGTGTCCAAAGGAGGCCACAAGGATGGGGAAAGGTCTGGGAGGGCCTTAAGAGAGCACTTGGTTTGTTCAGCTGGAGGAGAGGAGACTGAGGCTGGACCTCACTGAGGTCCTCAGCACCCTCAAGAGCAGTGGACAGTATCAATCTCTTCACTCTTGTGACCAGTGACAGGACCCAAGGCAACGGCTGGAGCGGGGCCAGGGGAGGTTTGGTGGGATCTCAGGGAAAGGTTCTTCTCCCAGAGGCCAGGGAATGGTCCCAGAGCTCCAGGAGTGTTTGAACACTGCTCCCAGGGATGCCCAGGGTGGGATTGTTGGGGTGTCTGTGCAGGGCAAGAGCTGCACTGGATGATCCTGTGGGTCCTGTCCAGCCCAGAATATTCTCTGGTTCTATGATTCTGTAAGCACGGGGTGGTTGGAGATGCTGGGGTCTTTAAAGATGTCCAGAGGTGTCACACTACAGAAGCGCAGCTCAGGTGGGCAACTGCTCTGATCATCCACCCCATCTAACCCAACCCAACCCATCTAACCCAACCCATCTAACCCAACCCAACCCATCTAACCCAACCCAATGCAACTCAACCCAACCCAACCCATCTAACCCAACCCAACCCATCTAACCCAACCCAACCCAACCAACCCAACCCAACCCAACCCATCTAACCCAACCCATCTAACCCAACCCAACCCAACCCAACCCAGTGCAACTCAACCCAACCCAACCCAACCCAACCCAACCCAACCCAACCCATCCAACCCAACCCAACCCATCTAACCCAACCAACCCATCTAACCCAACCCAACCAACCCAACCCAACCCATCCAACCCAACCCAACCCAACCCAACCCATCTAACCAAACCCAACCCATCTAACCAAACCCATCTAACCCAACCCAACCCAACCCAACCCATCTAACCCAACCCATCTAACCCAACCCACCCCATCTAACCCAACCCAACCCAACGCAACCCATCTAACCCAACCCAATGCAACTCAACCCAACCCAACCCAACCCATCTAACCCAACCCAACCAAACCCATCTAACCCAACCCAACCCAACCCAATGCAACTCAACCCAACCCAACCCAACCCAACCCAACCTAACCCAACCCAACCCAACCCAACCCAACCCATCTAACCCAACCCAACCCACCCCATCTAACCCAACCCAACCCAACCCATCTAACCCATCTAACCCAACCCAACCCAACCCAACCCAACCCAACCCATCTAACCCTACCCAACCCAACCCAACCCATCTAACCCAACCCAATGCAACTCAACCCAACCCAACCCATCTAACCCAACCCAACCCATCTAACCCAACCCAACCCAACCAACCCAACCCATCTAACCCAATCCAACCCAACCCAACCCATCTAACCCAACCCAACCAACCCAACCCAACCCAACCCAACCCAATGCAACTCAACCCAACCCATCTAACCCAACCCAACCCAACCCAACCCATCTAACCCAACCCAACCCAACCCAACCCAACCCAGGGCACACTCAGCCTGTCCCAGTGCACACTCAGCCTGTCCCAGGGCACACTCAGCTGTCCCAGTGCACACTCAGCCTGTCCCAGTGCACACTCAGCCTGTCCCAGGGCACACTCAGCTGTTCCCAGTGCACACTCAGCTGTTCCCAGTGCACACTCAGCTGTCCCTGTTCACACTCACCGTCCGGCCGGCCTCGTTGTTGTGCCTGTTCATGGCCGAGCGCGCGTCCGGCCGGTTCTCCCGCGCGTCCGCGAACTCCCGGGACACCAGCACCCCGAAGTCGGCGTCCTCGCTGCACCCCCCCCACTTCCAGCCGTCCCCCGGGGGTCCCTTGTGGTGGGAGTCACAGCCGCAGATGGTGGAGGTGCCCTCGGCGCAGGAGCGGGTGACAGCAAAGGCCACCCCGGCCGAGGCGATGGCGTGCACGAAGGCAGATTCTCGTGTGGCTGCAGAGACACGGAGATCATTGGCCCTGCAGCGCTGCTCTTCTCCTTCCCAGCCTCCCCCAGCAGCACCCACACCTCATTGAACAGCAATAAGTTATTTGTTAATTTGTTAATGAAGGTTTCCTGGGAGCTGCCAGCATTGCCCGTGGGCAGGAGGAGGTGGGGCAGGGGTGTGACTCCAGCTCTGGGGCAGTGTTTCCCAAACACAGCACCCAGGATTTGATCCAGCATGGGTGCTCAGGGGTGAACAGGGCATCTGTAGCAGCTTGAGGGGCCTCAGGAGAGAGTTACTGGAGTAATTCCTGGCCTGGGAACCCAGAGAGGGGCTGCATGCCAGGGGCTAGAGATGGAGGAGCTCAGTGAGCTGGGGAAAGGTTTTGGGTGATGCAGGACACACCGTGGGAGAACAGGGTTTGACCCTCAGTGGCTCTCCCAAGCACAGTCAGGCTCTCAGAACCAACTTTCTCCCTGGGGACACCTTTTGGCTCAGAGCCCTGCAGAGGTGCAGCTCCCTGGGCAGTGACACTGGGCTGCTTCGGCCCATCTATGAGGATGGAGACTTCAGGTCTCTAAATCCAGAGCAGCTGCTGGAGTCAATCCAACCTTGTGCCGGTGGCAGGAGCTGGGAGGGGCTGTGGTGCCTGGGCTGGGGGGCTCTGACTGCCTCGTGGGTCTGGTGTGATGGGATCATGGGCACAGCTGTCAGCAGGTGGGGGATGAATCAGAAATTTCTGCTGAGAAAACCACCTTGGAGCCAGTCCCCTCCTTCCAGAGCAGGAGCCATCTCTCAGCTGTCCCCTGCCCAGGGACAGCAGGCCCCTCTCCCAGCCTCAGTCTCTGCAGAGGTGGGTCTGGCTCCCAAAAGCCAGGTTTGCCAAGCTGAGCTGATGCCAGCAGAGCAGCTCTCGGGGCAGGAGGCTGTGGGTGGGTGCCAGCTGTGGGAATGTGCAGCCCTGCCCGGGGACCTCCCAAATGGCATCTCCAAGGGGGGCTGCTCAGTCCTGGCTGTGCCAGCAGCACCCCGCTGAGGTTTTCATCTCCTTTCAGTTCCAACTCTTCCCTCCTTGCCCTTCCCATCCCCGATGTGCCAGCAGGGATGCAGCCTCTACCCAGCAAGGTTTTCCTCGGGGATTGCTCATACTGGGAGCACTGGGGGCTGTGGGCACCGGTGGCAGGTCCCTGCTCCCCGTGAGGTGTTTCAGCCTGACAAAGGCTCTTTGGGTGGCCCGTGACCCAAAGCAGATCAGCTCAGAGGAGCCCTCCTGGCCCCAGCCCAGGACAGCCCGGGACAGGGGGAGGACACGAGTCGCTCTCCGGACCGATGTGGCTCCGCTTTCCCTGGGAGGTGGGAACGGGCACGGGGAGCAGGACCGAGCCGGGCTGGGACCGAGCCGGGCTGGGACCGAGCCGGGCTGGGCTGGGACCGAGCCGGGCTGGGACCGAGCCGGGCTGGCAGTGCCCACCGGGCTGGGACCGAGCCGAGCCGGGCTGGCAGTGCCCACCGGGCTGGGACCGAGCCGGGCTGGGACCGAGCTGGGCTAGGACCGAGCTGGGGCTGGGACCGAGCCGAGCCGGGCTGGGACCGAGCCGGGCTGGGACCGAGCCGGGCTGGGACCGAGCCGGGCTGGGACTGAGCTGGGCCGGGCTGGGACCGAGCCGGGCTGGCAGTGCCCACCGGGCTGGGACCGAGCCGGGCCGGGCTGGGGCCGAGCCGAGCCGGGCTGGGACCGAGCCGGACTGGGCTGGCAGTGCCCACCGGGCTGGGACCGAGCCGGGCTGGGCTGGGACCGAGCCGGGCTGGGACCGAGCTGAGCCGAGCCGGGCCGGGCTGGGCTGGGACCGAGCTGGGCTGGGACCGAGCCGGGCCGGGCCGGGCTGGGACCGAGCCGGGCCGGGCTGGGACCGAGCCGGGCTGGGCTGAGACCGAGCCGGGCTGGGACCGAGCTGGGCTGGGCTGGGACCGAGCCGGGCTGGGACTGAGCCGAGCCGGGCTGGGACCGAGCCGGGCTGGGACCGAGCTGGGCTGGGACCGAGCCGAGCCGGGCTGGGATCGAACCGGGCTGGGACCGAGCCGAGCCGGGCCGGGCTGGGACCGAGCCGGGCCGGGCTGGGACCGAGCCGAGCTGGGACCGAGCCGGGGCTGGGACCGAGCCGGGCTGGGGCCGAGCCGGGCTGGGACCGAGCCGAGCCGGGCTGGGACCGAGCCGGGCTGGCAGTGCCCACCGGGCTGGGACCGAGCCGAGCCGGGCTGGGACCGAGCCGGGCTGGGCTGGGCTGGGACCGAGCCGGGCTGGGCTGGGACCGAGCCGGGCTGGGGCTGAGCCGAGCCGGGCTGGGCTGGGACCGAGCCGGGCTGGGACCGAGCCGGGCTGGGACTGAGCCGGGGCTGGCAGTGCCCACCGGGCAGGGCCGCGATGGACACGGCTCCCGCAGCTGCCCCGTGTCCCCCATGTCCCCCGTGTCCCCCGTGTCCCCCGTGCCCCCCCTGTCCCCCCGTGTCCCCCCGCACGCAGCCGGCGCGGGGGGGAGCGAGCTGCCACCAAACCGCAATTTCGCCTTGAAATTCTCGCCTGGGTCTGGGCGAGGAGCCGGGAGAATTTCCCAGAGATGAAATGCGGGAGCAGCGTTCCCAGAACCAGGGGAGGGGCTGCCGAGGGAGGATTAGAGCCGCCTTGACAGTGCACCACTGCGGCTGTGTCCCAGCCGGGCCCGTTACCTGCTGGGACACTCAATTTGCCATTGTTCCCGCGGTGTCACACTCTATTACCAGCATAATGCGGAATGTTTCCGCCGGCCAGCGTACCCACGGCACAGAGCACTGGCATTCCCCAGGAGCACCTCGTAGCAACGGGGCAATGTTCCCCTGTCCTGCCGTCACCCTCCAATCCCGCCAGCCCGGCTGGGAAATCCCTATTGATGGCGCTCCCCAACCCCCAGAATGGCTAAAGGGCGTGTGAATGCGGCAGCGATTTGAAACGACTGCGGCGCTGCGATGGTATCGCTCGCCCTGCCTCACAGTAGGGGAGGAAGCTTAGCTCTTTCTCATCGCTATAAGCTTATTTTTCTCTCTCCCTCTCTCCTTTCCCTCCCCCTCCCTTTAAGCTGCTGAGTTTATATCAAGCCGGCCCCTGATCCCACACACCCCTGTTTAGATGCAAATGACTGCGGGTGTCATGGCTGAGAAAAGCCGTGGGTTATCGTGGTGCGGGTCTGCCTTTTCACAGCTCGTGTCAGGGGCTTAGCCGGGCTCCCGGGGACCCCCGACGGCAGCCCGGGCCCAGCTGCCGCCGCCCCTGCAGCTGCCCCGGTGCCCGGCCCGAGCATCCTCCCGGAGCATCCTCCCGGAGCATCCTCCCGGTGTGTCCCCGGAGAGTCCCCGGAGAGTCCCCGGTGTGTCCCCGGTGTGTCCCCGGTGTGTCCCCGGAGAGTCCCCGGAGAGTCTCCGGTGTGTCCCCGGTGTGTCCCTAGAGAGTCCCCGGTGTGTCCCCGGTGTGTCCCCGGTGTGTCCCCGGAGAGTCCCCGGTGTGTCCCCAGAGAGTCCCCGGTGTGTCCCCGGCGTGTCCCCGGTGTGTCCCCGGAGAGTCCCCGGAGAGTCCCCGGTGTGTCCCCAGAGAGTCCCCGGTGTGTCCCGCATGTGTCCCCGGTGTGTCCCCAGAGAGTCCCTGGAGAGTCCCCGGAGCATCCTCCCGGAGTGTCCCCAGAGAGTCCCCGGCGTGTCCCCGGTGTGTCCCCAGAGAGTCCCCGGAGCATCCTCCCGGTGTGTCCCCGGTGTGTCCCCGGTGTGTCCCCGGAGAGTCCCCGGTGTGTCCCCGGTGTGTCCCCGGTGTGTCCCCGGAGAGTCCCCGGTGTGTCCCCGGAGCATCCTCCCGGTGTGTCCCCGGTGTGTCCCCGGAGAGTCCCCGGAGAGTCCCATTGGCTTTAGATAAGAGCTGACCTTATTTTACGAAGAAAAGGGAAAGGAGGGAAGGGGAAAGCAGGTTTTTCTTCCCTCCTTATCCCAGACTGCACACCTGCAGTATAAATCATCTTGGGGAATCTGCTTGTAAAAACATGATCTTACCCCACGTTCAGGGGTTGGTTTTTTGGGTTTTTTTGGGTTTTTTTTGGTTTTTTTTTTTTTTTTTTATGGCCTGGGTTAGAAAGTAAGACATGGAAAAAACAAAAGGTAGAATCACAGAACTATAGAACAGTTTGGGATGCGAGGGACCTTGAAGCCCATCCCATCCCACCCCTGCCATGGCAGGGACACCTTCCACTGTCCCGGGCTGCTCCAAGCCCTGTCCAGCCTGGCCGTGGGCACTGCCAGGGCTCCAGGGGCACCACAGCTGCTCTGGGCACCCTGTGCCAGGGCCTGACAACCTCACAGGGAACAATTCCTAATTCCCAATCTCCCACCCAGCCCTGCCCTCTGGCAGTGGGAGCCATTCCCTGTGTCCTGTCCCTCCCTGCCTTGTCCCCAGTCCCTCTCCAGCTCTCCTGGAGCCCCTTTGGGTGTTCAGGGAGGGCAGCCCTGTGCCCCACACTGGCACCAGGAGCCCAGGGAGGCCTGGACACACACTTGGACACCTGTGCCAGGGCAGGGTCTGCTCAGCTGAGCCCTCCCACACTGCTGCTCTGCAGGCTGAGCCCTCCTCCAGTGGAAATGACCATGGTTAACATGTTTGCAGCTCCTTTAAAATGAAATTATCCTCAGTTTATTTTCAGGCTCTGTTAGAAATGATTTTTGATGCTGTTGTAGTGAGAACTGCACCTTTGAAGCTTTTCCAAAATAGCCTCAATCTACCTGAGGGAGTAGCAGGTGAGATTATCCAAGCTAATACTGACAGGGGATTTCACCAGGTGTTTGTGAGGTGAAACCCCGACCCTTTGCTGGCCAAATGCAGCGTGTGAACTGTGACAGGGATTGTCTTGGTTTGGGTTTTGGCTTTGGTTTGTGGGGCTGCACCCCCGGGTGTGCTGGAAGTCAGGAAAAGGGAACATGGCAAGGGTGGCCACAGGATCCAGATTATGGGCCCGAAACTCTTGGTTTGAGGACCACCTAAAGGGCTCCAGGAGAGCTGGAGAGGGACTGGGGACAAGGGATGGAGGGACAGGACCCAGGGAATGGCTCCCACTGGCAGAGAGCAGGGATGGATGGGAGATTAGGAAGGAATTGTTCCCTGGCAGGGTGGGCACAGGGTGCCCAGAGCAGCTGTGGCTGCCCCTGAATCCCTGGCAGTGCCCAAGGCCAGGCTGGACAGGGCTTGGAGCAGCCTGGGACAGTGGAAGGTGTCCCTGCCATGGCAGGGGTGGCACTGGATGACCCAAACCAGTCTGTGACTCTGTTGCTGCATCCAAGGAAGAAGCTGCCAGCACCTCTCACTTCTGTCACCACAGCACCTCTCACTTCTGTCACCAACCCCGAGAGCTCAGCCACATCCCCTCCTCTCCCCCCTCACTGGGGGAGCGTGGCTGGGACAGTTCTGCTTTTCTCTGCAGACTGGGAATGTCAAAGGCTCCCTGTTCCTCAGTGCCACACAGTGACACCAGCCCCATCCTCGATCCACTCGTTAATTTTGAAGGCAGCAGGGAAAAGACACGAGCACAGCTCAGAAATGTGAATAATCCCCACGATCAGATGGGCTGGGCTTTGATGTGTCCTCCTTTGCAGACGATGCTGTTTATTTTTAACTGCTCCACTTACAGGTTAGTGAGACATCAGGATAAATACGCCCTGGGAGCCTGGCAGGGCTGTCTGGAGATGTGTCACAGTGGGATTGGGAAAGCTGAATATCCAACGTGCTCACTCATTTTTCTCCATCTGTCAGAAGAGTTTCAGAGCTCTGGGTGATATTTTACCTTGTCAGCTCGGGGTGCATGGAGATGCTGAGGCAAGTCCACACATGAGGCTTTGCTGAGTCCCTGCAGCCGAAAGAATCTTAAAATATTCTCCATAAATTCAAAGTTCAGTTTGCTCATTACAGGGAGGATGGTTCAAATCTAATCTTTAAGTGCTTTCCCGCTGACAGAAATGGTGGTGAGAGATTTTCAGTGTCTCAATGCTTGAACAGTTCTTTCCTAACTTGTTTAGAATTTTTATGACAGTTTCTTAGTGACTGTTTTTAAAGAAAATTAAAAATTTCTGATCTTTTAAGTGCTGAAATTTAGGACAGGCTTTTATGAGGCAGCAAATCAAGAGTGTGTTGAGCCCTGCTGACAAGTTATTTGGTAGTAAATACAACAGTTACCCCAAAATACACCCTGGCACAACAGAGGGGAAATGAATCTCATGGTGCCTATTAGTGCTCTAATAAGGCTTGACAATCCTGGTTCCTGCACAGAATCCCACATTAACACAAAGGAATGATTTTCACTGAAATACTCTACTGACATTTCAGGGATCTGAAACGATACCTACCCTTACTGGGAGGCTGAAACTTGAAAAAAAATAATATCATGAGCTGTTTCTTTGCAGACTACTGGGGCTTTGTAAGAAAGGTTCACCAGAACTCCTGCATTCTCCAGGGGACTCTTGGGAAAGAGTCCAAAGTGCTGCTCTCACCCCAATTTCTCCAGTTCCTTGAAGTTTGTACCATAAAATCCCCATTTCCAAAGCACCACTGGAAACAGTAATTTCTGTGCAATAAAGAGATTTTGGGTTGCAGGGAGCCAGTGCTGTCAACACCCAGGAAGACGAGGGGGAAATGGTTTTGGTTGTGTTCATGAAGCTGGGAAACCAAGATATCACCTGTGGGTGTGCCCTGTGCTGAATGTGGCACAGAGAGAACAGAACCCATGGGAGAAACTGGATATTTTTATCCACTGGGAGTTATTAATTCACCACTTGGGTTCAGTTTTGTGGGAATGTCTTTTAATCTGGGCTCTGGGATATCTGAGATGTGGGGCAGGTTATGGAGCTGGGCTGGGGAGGGTCAGGCTGGATCTCAGGGAAGGTTCTTCCCCCAGAGGTGCTGGCACTGCCCAGGGACTGGGCACAGCCCCGAGGCTGCCAGAGCTCCAGGAGGGTTTGGACAGCGCTGCCAGGGGTGCCCAGGGTGGGATTTTGGGGGTGTCTGGACAGGGCAGGAGCTGCCCTGGATGATCCCTGTGTATCCCTTCAAACTCAGAGAATTTTGTGATTCTAGGATCTGCCCCTCCAGCCCCTCCTTCCAGCCTGTTTTGGGGCCCTTTCTCATATTTTCCAGTGTAATGCCCCATGATCTCACTGGGAATCCCAATTTTATGGTGCCTCATCAATGCTCCAGTGCCTGATCTGTGCCAGTTTAGAAAGGTGGCATTTCAGAAGCAGGGGAGGAAGGAATTTGGAGAGAGGAGAGGCAAAATTAATTTATAACCTCTCCTTGTTTTCTGCTTTTTGGGCTCATTTGTGAAAATATTCATTGAAATCCCATTGAAAAAAAGATTTATTGAACCAAGCCTGACCAGGACCATGGATTTCAACCATGGTTCCCCACTGGTGGGAAAAACTGAGCCCAGGGACCTCCTGGGGTGGGCAGTTTGTGCTTCAGTGGCTCTGCCTTGATCCCAAAGAGCTCAACCACATCCTTGGCTTTCCCAGGGGTCTGCTGGGCCCTGTTTGGAAATGCTGCATGCCCAGCACAGGGAGGTGGAGCCCAGGATTCCAGAACACCTGAGAACGCTCGGGATAAACCTTCCCCTTCCTCTCTATCCTCCTTGGCCCTTCTGAGCTCCTGGGTGGGAACATTTCCCTCATCACCCCTTGTGATGGAACACGCCAAAAACTATAAATAAATCTAAATAAATGAGAGAAAAACTATAAATATAAATAAATAAATGAGAAATGGAAGCTGGCACATCAGTCCCCACACCCAGGGGAGCTGCCCCAGCCCGGCTGCCCCGTACCTTTGTCCAGGACGGGCCCGAAGATGGCCAGGCTGTCATCGATGGTGGTGCAGTTCCAGCGGCGCCCCCGGAACTGGTGCTGGCACTCCTGGATGCCCAACTTCACCCCCTCGGCCACGCTGGGCATGATCTCGATGTAGTTGCGGCAGAAGCGGAGCTGCTTGGGGACCAGGCCGGGGATGGAGCCGCAGAGGAGGGGCTGGGAGCCCAGGGAGCTGTACTGCTGGCCCAGGGCCAGGGACCTGCAGGGATGGCCACAGGGACAGGGACAGGGTCAGCTTCAGGGCTGGGAACATCCCCGTGCCTGCCCCTGCCCCGTCCTGGTGCCACTCATCACCCCAACCCTGCCCCGTCCTGGTGCCACTCATCACCCCAACCCTGCCCTGTCCTGGTGCCACTCATCACCCCAACCCTGCCCCCACCGTCCCCAGGCGCTGGGAAATGGATTTGTAGGGAGTTCTCAAAGCCTGGCAGAAGGATCACACAGTGTGTGCAAACCTTGAGATAAGAAATGATGGCTCAGAAATGCCCTGGAACAGGACAGACACTGCTGAGAGAGAAATGGAACCAGAAACAAGTTTCAGAGGATGGCCTTGCAAATAACACGAGATACTTTGGAGAAACAGAACGATGAAAGATGCATTACAGCAGGACCCACAAGAGGTAATTTTAGATTATTTGCTTTAGGGCATTTAGGGGTGGCAAAAGCTGACAGGCCAAGGAACACTTATAGCGTATTGTAGTTAGGAAATAGTTGGCTCCTAATTATAATAGTGTAAATTTTAACATCTGTATTGTCTCACCCTTCACACGAGACTGAAAATGGAATAAAAGTTTTTAAAACACCTCTCAGTTGCCCCATCTCTGGGTCAGAAAAGAGCTTGTCCTGTTCTCCTTGATGACCACCCAGGAGTTTTGAGATTGTTGGAATCTGAGGTATTGATGATTCCAAGATTGTAGAAAGTCTCTGTCTTTCTGCCCCGCTGCCAAAGAAGAAGTCATAATTCATCTGTGCTGGTTTCAAGGTTGTTTATTCTGTTTATCTCTAACATGTTCTGCTGCCCTGCCGCAGCTCTGTCCTGCAGGGCAGCGTGTGGGGCTCTGCCCTCAGTGGGATGGTACAAACATTAAATACCACAAACTACCTGTGCTGGATTTACAATAACGTGCCAATATCTGTCACCTACGTTGGACAGTGTGTCCCCAGCCTGAACCAACAGAAAAATGCCAACACCACAGTGAAACATGGAGGGCATGAGGAAGGAGAAAAAGACAAGACACACCCAATTTCCTCCATCTTTTCCCCTTTGGACCCCTCATCTAGAATCCTAAAATTTTACTTTTTCACCCGTGCCACACTTAATTATTACTCATATCAAACACTCAGAGCTTGTAATTCATCCTGTAAGATTGAAAACTCTTTTCCATGGGCAGAGATCACAGACAGTGTCTCTGGGGGCTCTGTCCAGGGGGGTTCCTGACCCCTGCCAGGGTCCCAGGGCAGCCAGAGGGAAGCCCTGGGTTCCCACAAAGGGTGAAGACACAGGGCCTGAAGAGGCACTGAGACCCTGGTGTTGCACAGATCAGGGACAGCCAGAGGTGTCCCTGCAGAAGGTGGGTTCAGAAGCGTGTGAGCAGCAGCTCTGTGACCACCCCAAACTCAGAGCACAGACCTCACCACTGTGGGCAAATAAAAGGAGTTTTGACTCAGCATCTTCCCAGCCCATGGGGGGTTGCTGGGGTGTCCTGAGCAGGGCCAGCAGGGCCTGGATGATCCTTGTTGGGTCTCTCCCAGCTCAGGAGATTCTCTGACCCCTTGGCTCTGTGTCTCTTGGGCTGGGAGAGGCAAGAGCTGGGTGAGGCTGTCCCTGGGGCAGCCCTGGTGGCTCTCTGTGCTGCTGTGTCCCATGGCTGCTCCACAGTCAGGTTTTGGTCCAGCAGCACGCCCAGCTCTTGCTCTGCACCCTTTGCTGGTTGCCCCCAGCCTCTGCAGGTGTCTGGGGCTGCTTTTTCCCAGCTCCCTTGGTTGGAGTTCATCCCATTCCTGTCACATTCCAACCACTTCCCCCACTGCATCTGTGTTTCTCCCTCAAGCTCCTGGAGACTGTGTGGAATAAAACAATCGTTTGTAGTCCTTGGTTGATCCAGGCTGGGAGAGCCCTCAGGAGCAGGGCCATTTCTGGGTCAATTTGGTTTCTCAGGGCCTTGTCCTTCCACAGTTTGAGCTCCTCCAAGGACAGAGATGCCATGGGACACGTGGGGGGACTGTCCTCACCCAGAGCTGCTCTTCCTCAGAGAGTGGCTGAGATGTGAAGATGAAATAAAACCTCTTTGAAATCCAGATCTGAGATCCCAGGGGCAAATCTTATGTCTTACACAAGATATTAAACCCAAAAATCTCAATCACCAGAGTCAAATCTAAATCAGAGGAGTTAAATCTTCATCACAGGCGCTCATGGGGATGAAGGAAGAACATAAGGAGAGGAAGTGGCACAGGGTGAATTTGAGAGATGGAGGAAAAGCACCATTTTTAAGGCACAAACACAACCCCAAGGCTGGCAGCTGCAGGACTGACAGACCCCATTTCCTTCTCCTGCTCTCTGTCCCTCCTGGCTCCCACGTTGCTGTGGCTCCCATGGTGAGGGATGGGTGTGCACAGAGGGGCTGGCTTTGTGTCTGTGGGACAGCAGGGCACAGAGGGGCTGGCTTTGTGTCTGGGAAATAATTAGCATGGCCTCTATTATTTTAGAAGGTTGATCAATTGCTTTATTATACTATACAATATTATACTATTAGGAAAACTCATTGCTCTTGCAGACAGTCTGATACAGACAGACCAAATTGGTTCATTGAAATCTAAACACTCTTTGGTAAACAAATCTCTATAACACATTCCACATGTGCACAACAACAAGTGCAGCAAATGAAGATAAAAATTGCTTCTCATTTTTTTTCTCTGAGCTTTCTTACAGCTTCTCACAGCTTCCCAGGAAAATCCTGGGAAAGCTATCTCTCTGTTCAGGGGATAGGTGATTACCACACCCACCCATCTTCCTCCTCCCTGCAGAGCTGCCCACAAACTCATCTTCCCTTTGGCTAGAAAGGCCCCCGGTACCCAGAGAGATGAGACCCAGCAGTGTTTGGGAACAGCAGGTCAAGAAAGAAAAAAGGATAAATAAGCTAAACTGCAACTGCCTATTGCAATCAGCATTTGTTTGTCGTTCCTGACCAATGAGTAAACTCATGAGCTTTGTAAGGATATAAAATATGTATATTTGTATAAATATAAAATATGTATAAAATAGAAAAGATGACATATATTATATAAAATATAATATATGTATAAAAAGCATCCATGCTATAATAAAAACAGTTTGAAGCCTTCTGGACAGGGAGTGTGTTGCTTTGTGCTGTCTCTGTCTCAACCCCAACACCCCTCCATGAACGGGGCTCCGTGGGGTGCTGCCCTCCAGGACAGCAGCTCCTGGGAAGGTTTTGTCTGTCCTGTGCTGGGTGAGCAGGTGGCTCTGGGCTGGCCCTTGGGGTGTGCTCAGGTGTGCTTTGACAGGTTCGTGGTGAGAGAAAAGCAAAGGGCCAGGAGGGGACCCCTGGGGAACAATCTGCTGGGCCACCCCTTTCTCTTTCTTCTCAATCCCATAACCTGGTGCTGTCTGTGATGAGTCCTGGGAGCTCTTGGGGTCCTGGGGATGAACAGGACTCTGCTCAGCCCTGGGTAATTTTGGCATTTGTGAGCTCCAGCCTGGGGGAATCAGCCCCTGTGGCTGCCTGAGCTCTCTGCTGCAGCTTTTCACTGGAAACGCAGGGAGAACCTCCCTGGGAGGAATCTTTTTTTGCCAGGGTCGGGATTAAATGTGTGAGCTGGTATTTCTTGTTCAGACTCAGATATTTATTAGTTCTTTGTCACAGTCTCACAAACCCTGAGTTCTACAGCACTTCACTCTAGCAAGCTGAAAATGGAGCCCTGTCTCTCTCTCTACAAGGTCTTTTAAGGATAAACTGTCCAATTAAGAAATGATACCTCAATTATTTTTACTTTTAACCCAATGACCAACCACCTGTGCCTGCAATGGGGACTTTTTTTATCCAATTACACAAAACCACCCGAACCCATGGAGAAGAAGATGAAGAAGAAGAAGAAGAAGAAGAAGAAGAAGAAGAAGAAGAAGAAGAAGAAGAAGAAGAAGAAGAAGAAGAAGAAGAAGAAGAAGAAGAAGAAGAAGAAGAAGAAGAAGAAGAAGAAGAAGAAGAAGAAGAAGAAGAAGAAGAAGAAGAAGAAGAAGAAGAAGAAGAAGAAGAAGGACCAGCCTCCACTCTATAAGCTCCATCTTTCTTTATATATATTACTATATTCTAAACCCTTAAACTCTGAGTTTCCCACCCTGTGATATCACACACTTCTATCCAAACTCCACACCCACAATCCCAGATCTGTCATTCCATTTTGGAAGCTTCTCCACGGCCTCAGGTCACTGCAGTGTTCTCCTGGGGGTCAGTGCCTGTCAGCACAGAAAATCTGAAGTTCTCAGCATCCAGGGTTCCAGCACTGCTCTGGGAATGTTTTCTGGCTCTGAACCCAGCAGCTGGAAGCAGATGAATTTGGAGAACTCTTTTTTTCCCTTCCCATACCAGGACAGCTCCAGCCCCATGGCAGGAGAGCTCTGGGCTGTCACTAAGGGCACATCTTGTCCCCTGGAGCACTCCCTGCACTGCAGCTCTCCCTTTCCCCTCCTGAGGGATCTCCCACATAAATGGGGACAAGCTGCAGGGATCCTGGGCCCCTCTGTGCCACCTGTCCTGACAAAGCACATGGAGGGATGGAGGGAGGCAGGAAGAGGCTCTCCCTGTGGATAGACTGGCAGAGGATGGAATATTTTCACTCTGAGTGTCTAATCCCACTCTAATCCAGTGTCTAAACCCACCTTTCTAACAATTTAGCCTGAAAAATTGTTATAATGATTTTACATTTTCCTCACTGGAGCCTCCAGCACACCTGGAGGTGCACGAGGAGCTCCATGAGTGCTGCTGGTCGTGGTGGCTCCTGCTCTTCCTGAGCTCCTCCACAGCCCTTGAGAGCTCCCAGGAACTCCAGTGAAGCTCTTTGAAACCACAATTGCAAAATCCCAGAATGGTTTGGGTTGAAAGGGACCTTAAAGCCCACCCAGTGCCACCCCTGCCATGGCAGGGACACCTTCCACCGTCCCAGGCTGCTCCAAGCTCCATC